AGTGGAGGTGTCACGTAGTAGTAGGAACGTTTTGGCTGACTGTCGTCGCTGCACTGCATTTACACACATCTGACTGCCGTCCGTCCTTGACGCGGCTCGACGTGAAGTCTCGCTCTGGCGCTGCCGGTGCCGACCCGCCGGGTTCAATCTCAGCGAGCGCGCGTACAGTGACATACAAAATGCTCGGTCCGCCACCGTGCATCCTTCCTGCCGCCGCTGGCGCTGGACTGGATCCACAGCACAGGCACCGCACGCAGGGCATTCAAGTCGGGTGGGCTCCACGCCGATGGATCCGAGCCTACGAGCAGCGCAGCGCACAGGGCTCCACGGCCATGCCTACGCCGTTTGCAGCATGCGCCGGCCATGCACGGATGCACATGCACCTCCCCGGCCTGTCACCATCCCTCGCTCGCTAGCCGGGCGCGCATGCATGGGCCGTCGCTGCCGCGGGCATGCATGCCTTGCCAGCGCACGAACCTCCTCTACCTTGGCGTGTTCGTGGTGCATTGCATGCAGCTGCAGTTGCGCTTCAAACGCTCATTATCACTACCCCCATGCGGCATGCGCGCCATGCATTCAGAGCTGGTGGTATTAATGGAGTCCGGTCACGCTGCGCCTGCTACTGCTAGCTCGGCGGCAGGGAGGCAAAAGGGAACGCCGATCGAGCGTGCAGCTAGGAACACACGGCCGGCGGTCGATCGTGTGCTCGTGCAACCTGCAACGTCGCCTACTACCATCGATCGCATTGAGAGCGAGTTGTTGCGTGCCAATGCCATGGCGACTGGCGAGCGAGCGGATCAGGCTAGCTCGCGTGAAGGCGCGCGCACGTACGTTCGCCGCCAGGTAGCGCCGGTGCCGTTACCGGGGGATCGGCTATTTCCCCGTGGGTCACGGAGGCCGGACAGCCGGACACCAGTGCGTCCGATGAGCGGCGGCCGGCCGTCGGCTGCGCGGGTTTTCCACGGCAGATCGAATCGTGCTTGGGCCGCGCGCGTATATAGCTCGGCGGGCAGCCGTTTTCTCACTGGCGCGCGCGGTCCAGTGTTGCGAGCGATTCGGTGCTGCCGGATCAGCGACGACGCGCGGTAGTTGGGACGATCAATGAGATGTGCATATATAGCTCGAGGGCGCTGCACTGAAGCCTGCGCTCTTCTGACGTCTGAGGACGACACGTACGTGCGTGCCAGTCCCATTGGACTCAGCACACGAGGGCACCGCACGCGCGAGGTAGATGTGTGCGTGAACTCGGTTGCAATTTTTCCTGCTCCGTTTCAACGCCTGCCTGCGCCATTTTCCCCCCTTTCCCCCCTCAACTTTGCATGTTATCATAACAGCAATAAGTTAATACTCAGCTCAGTGCCGCTGGGCTGACTTTTGTTTTAACAGTTCAATATATACTACCCCTTCCTCTCCCCACTTGGGATCAAGAAGAAGAAGACATCACTAGCCAGAAAACAGGCATACAGAAATCAAGCAATGCATGACACTGAATGACTGAATGAAATACAGTACGGAGTACATCAGAAACAACTAACTTCACTTCCATCATATATAATTACACCGAGTAGCAAAGCTCATGCTAATTAATAAAGTGCTGCCTGCTGAAAGACAATGCACGGCTAGCAAATACATCACAAACCTTCCATTATTTTTTACCGAATAGCAGAGCTTAAATTCCAGTACACCGAACACGGCAGAGTTCACACAAAAGTAGGTGTATCTAGTTATTAGCTACAAGTGTTACAAGCTCAAGAGGGATAGACGGGGACGAGATAGATGGGAGGATTGATAAGCGCGAGATGGCGAGAGGCAGGTGTAAGAAAGAGATGCACGCAAAGTAGGAATTCATCCTCTAGTGAAAAGTCTTGCAAGGTCAAGAAGATCTTTTTAGATAATTTCATTAGATGATGGAGCAATCACTGATGTGCAACCATTCAGAAACGTAGCGGGAAGAGGGCGTGGTAGAAGAAGCTCGGCGAGGATAGCGCCATCACAGAGCAGCAGCACCGCAGCGCTTGCAGCTGGGAGGAGGCTTCAGCCGCTTCCTGTTCTTCCAGGTCATCCAGAGGCACCCCGTGGAGTCTGCAGCAACAACCGGCGGGGACGACGAATCGCTAGCAGACGAGAAGCTTGGGCAGCAGACCGGGAGGAAGCAGCAGGAATGGTGGTTGGGGCTAGGCATTTTGGTGGACATAGGAGAGGGGAGGCAAGGTCAGGTACGGTGTGGAGAAGAAGAGCTGGCCTCCGTTTATATAGGGCGAGAGAGAGAGGGAGGACGGTCCCGGAGGAGTTATGGCCGTGGAGGGCAAAAGAGAGGAAGCAGGCGTCCTGTTAAAAATGTTCCCCGGTAGGCGGGACTAGTTATCTCAATCTTTTCTTCTTGGAAGAAAAAAGGAGAATTGCTCCACTGCGCACTGGCCTACAACCATATTTCGAAACCTTTATTATTATAAAGAAAAAATGGAAAGGTAAAATGTGGTTCTTCAGTCTTCAGTGTCTCTGAAACTCCAAACAACTACAGAGCTAGTCTTCATAGAGAAAAAAAATAACATAAACGTCCATTTTCTTATCATTGTTTTTGATCAACCAATTATGACTGTTTCATTACGAATTTACGATGCAATGGAATGGATTGCGTCCTTAGTAAACCAAAGAATGCCTGACCAACTCGCAAGATCACCCGCACATATCATAGGGGAAAACATTCAGTGGCAAGATCACTCGGAATCTTAAAAACACCAGGGAAAAAACATATTTTGGTGATTTCAAAAAAATTGAAACGATATACATTCGTAGTGCATCTATAGATATACATTACCACAAAATTTGAGATTCAAACTCGTTATTTGTTAGAAAAAACTCATACAAAAATAATAAATTTCAGGTGCATACGTGCTTTAATTGGGGTAGTTCCCTTGAAACATTAGCACGGAGACAACATGTATATACTCGTTTACACGATGCCTCGAATGGCATTTCTTGAAGTTTTATTAGGGATCTAAATGACACGGCAGGACAGTGGCAGCCGGAGCCAGGTTCTTTGGAAGCCCGGGCGCCGCTCCCTTTGCTCTCGCTCTTCCCAGCCTCTTCTCTGTACATAAGGGACTTGAGCCTTGATTGGCACTTGAGCTTAAGGTGTTAGCGCCAAGGCAGCCTGGGGACATATATGGTGGCAGGACAAGATTATGTCGGATTGAATCTGTATTTTCACATAGTAGGATGCGTTACTGACTTCGGTATATGAATGGAATATATATGGGATGCAAGCATTATTATATTTGTCTCTGATGCATCGAGCGCTCCCAGCATACTTCATACTTGTAGACTGAATCCCCTGAATATACTGCATGATATTTGCTTAATTTATTCTTGCCTTGATCAACTACCGATAACGAGTGATGATGCATGCATGAATGAATAATCATGAATGTTCAAACGACACCGGCACACCGCACACGATGACTAAGCGACGGTACGGTGTGGTTTTCCACGGCCGAATCGCGCCTGTGCTTCGGCCGTATAGCTTGGGGCCTTGGGCCTTGGAGCCTTGGGCAGCCGGCCGGTTCTCACCGACGGTCGATCACACATTGCGCTGCCGAATCAGCCACGATGGGTAGCTGGGGGCGGTAAATGGGGTGGCTCCAGTGCTGCCTGCGCTCTGAAAGTCTGAATACGACACGTACGTGCGTGCTAGTCAGCTAGTCCCCGGCCAATTGGACGCAGTGTGCACTAGGGCACAGCCGCCGCACAGGGCACTGCACGGACGTCGCATGCACACGATGTGTGTGAGAGGGAGAACGCTCAACGGGTGCATACTTTTTCTGCTACACGTTTGGACTCCTGGCTGTGCGCCACTACCCTACCCACTACATTGTTCCCTGTTTTTCTCTTCTCAGTTTTGCATGTTACTTTGGCTAACGGCTCCATTCTTCATGGACATCTTCATCTTAATGTGTTGGGCAATTTGGAAGGTTAGAAACGGCCTAATCTTCAATCAAGTTCAAGATTCCTTGGAAGATGCAAAGAAGACGTTCAAGACAGAATTTGCACTGCTCCTCTAGCGTGCAAAGAGAAGATATTTTCCATTGATTGAACTATGATTAAACAATCTTAGTTTAGTCTTCTTAGTTTCTTTAGTTTTTTTCCTTTCCTTCTTTGTCTCTTGAACCCTCCCCACCCCTTTCTTTGTATTAAACTTCTGTTTTAATAAATCTCACAGTAGAGGTGCGCCCCTCCCGTTTTGCCTAAAAAAACACTCATCAACTGGGATATGTAAGTGTTCAGCTGATTTGTATGACTGATTTTTTTAGAGAAAAAAAATACAGTAAAGTGACTTATAAGCCAGCAAATAAGCTGGCTGGAACAGCCAGCCGAACACTCCCGTATGGTATGACTTGATGTGTCACTATCAAGTGTCAACAGCAGCTCAATGTTATTCTTCTTCCCCAGAAGGGTCAAGAAAACACCAGCACAAGAGTTATACAGAAATCTGAGAACACATGCATTGACACTGAAAAGCACCAGAAACTTCACTTATATTACATGGACCATGTTCAAGACAAAGTACTAGCTGAAACTGAAAGGCAATGGGCGATTAAAATAATACTCCTACACCAGAAAACTTAGCTTTATTACAGCAAATAGCAGAGTTCATGCGGAAGTAGCTGAAAGGGAACAATACACAGTTTACTTCCAGCACACCGAACAACAGTTCACACGAAAGTCATAGCTTGCAGATAGCTGCTACTATCTAGCTGCAAGTGTTCCAAGCTCAAGAGGGATAGACGGGGAGCAGAGGGATGGGAGGATTGATAGGCGCGAGAGTAAGACATGGACGTAGTAGGGATTCATCTTCAAGCAAAAAGTCTTGCAAGGTCAAGAAGACGATTGCATTACTTGTCACTAGAACAAAAATTCCGAAAGGAGTGGTGAACAACCGTGGAGCAAGAAAAACGGAGAGAAGTGGGCGTGGAAGAAGAAGCTCGGCGAGGATAGCGTCATCACAGAACAGCAGCACGGAAGCGCTCGCAGCTGATGCTGGCACGACGACGGGGCTTCAGCCGCTTCCTCTTCTTCTTCCTGGCTATCCAGGAGAGGCGCCCAGTGGAGGCTGCAGCAGCCGGGGACGGAGGATCGCCGGCCGCAGAGAAGCTTGGGCAGCAGACCGGGAGGAAGAAGCAGCAATGGTGGTCGTGGCTAGGCATTTTGTTGGTGTCCTGAGAAGATGGGAGGGGAGGAGAGGTGTGGCAATGGCAAGGACGGTGGAGAAGAAGGGCTGGCCTCCCTTTATATAGCGGGGGCGCGAGAGGGAGGAAGAGCGCGGTGCCGGTGGAGTTATGGCCGGGGGGACTCGGGGAGGGAGGCAAAAGGGAGGAAGCAGGCGAATGCAACCCTGCAGTTTGTTCTCTCTGTCTTTTCTTTTGAAAAAAAAAAAGAAAGCAGCAATTCAGCCACAACCAAATTTCAGGACAGTAAAATCTTTATCCGGTTCTTCAGTCTTCACCGTCTTGCAAACAACAAGCTGGTGTTTCAGTTCTGCAGAAAAAAAGATATATATAGTGACTTTTTCTATGCACAAGTTAACTGCACTGGGAGAAATGGATGGCATAAAGATTCCAAATGGTAGGGCTGTTGAAGGTACAGTCTCTTATAATCGACAGCTTGATTGCGTACATGCTGGGAGTTTGGGAAGAGAAAGGAGTCAAGGAACACACTTGCACGGTCTATATACTAGTACTAGTACTATCTTTCAGCAATTCAGCTACAAGCAAGGAACAGAACGTAAGTTGTTGAATCGATCGGGTAGACAGCGCCCTTGATCCCTCACGTGGACCGCATAAAGGTGGAACAGGAGAGGCCTGGTGGTGGTGGGAAAGATGAGGCTATAGCTAGCAGCGTGCAGGTGCAGTGCCTCTTTATGGACACGGCAACAAACGCCTTTCCTCCGTCCGGCGCTCGGACCGGCTGGACGGACGGCGAGGACACAGAGCGGCTGGCGGGTGGGGCGGCCGCGCGCTGAGCCGGGTTTGGACGCATACGCAGGCATGCATGCGCCATTGCCCATTGCCAGCCGGAGGAACAGCGTGACTGTACCGTCGAGTTATGGCGAATCAAGAGGCGATCGAGGCTAGGCGCGCATGCATGCATGTTTCGCTTTGCTTTGCACTGCCTTGCGTTGCATCAGAGTGAGGCCGGACCGAGGCAATGTCAATGCTGCAAAGAGCTTCAATTCATGGGGTCCCTGCCTGCAGGCCATCCCTGCTCTCCATTTATGTACATGCCGCAACGACCGAATCTGCAGCTAGCATGGTGGTTTTCGAGTCCCCGGCCCTCCTTGCATTGCGCGCATTGTGTGTGCGGTGTGCCCTCCTTGCTCGAAATTCGAAAGTAGAGAGCTAGTGGTAGAATTCTGCGTCGACGCATGTTACCAATCATATGCAAGAGGTCTCTTGTTCAAATTCAAAGTGAATTTTTGCGCATTCAGAAACACAACTAATGGAGCTAGCTAGCAGCAGACAGTGTCCCACGGCGGTTAGTTGTTTGTCATTGCACCAACATGCCCAACTAACGGAGTAACGGACACATGCATGCGTTTTCTTTGGGTTGCCGTGATGAGATCGTGCCGACTGGGGAGTGGCGACCTGGCACCATTTCGGGGAAGAAGATCAGTGCTAGCGTGCCCGCAGCTGCAGGCCGCGGCCGGCAGCCACAAAATGTTGCTATGCTTGCCATCCAAACCACCCGCGAACGGCGGTTGACAAATCGGCCATGCCCAACACGGAACTCTAGCTGCAGGGGACCCATCCATAGCTAGCTTATTTGTTCATTCGCCGCCACCGCGGCACCGCAGCCGTACTTAGTACATGTACGAAGCCCGGCCGAGACCGTTTGCACGTATGTACGTACGAAGCTCGTAGAACGTACGCACACAGCCAATCCATCTTGGCTGGCGGACGGAATGCTAGCTACTAGCTCATTGCAAGTTCAGAGATACTGTAGTGGTACTGGAAGAGAGGTGAGCTGAGATTGGTGCTGTGTTTTTCTGTGAAAGAAAAACGGGCGACCGTCGTGCATAGCGATGGATGCTGAGAAGCAATCGAGCGTTTGCTGCTAGCTAGTACTAGCTGCTGTGACTCGTGACTCTTCAGGGTTTGGGCCTTGTTTAGTCTCTCAATTTCTAAATTTGGCACTATGTAAAAAGAAGATTCTTCGTCACATCAAACTTGCGGTACATGCATGGAGTACTAAATGTTGACGAAATCAAAAACTAATTGCACAGTTTGGTTGTACTTTGCGAGACGAACGTTTTGATCCTAATTAGTCAACGATCGGACAATTATTACCAAATAAAAACAAAAGTAGCACCAGGAAATCCGGCGGCGCGGTGGCCAACTAAACATGGCCTTGAACAAGTGTTACAGCGCCCTGTGTAAAGGCCGGTACTGCCTGCAGTCGTATGCATAGTCACACATCACGCCACCAGGATCGGAGGGGGATGTTGCTGCGGTCTCTCGTCAGCCTCTCCCTCTCTCTGCCTGTGAGGAAGCTACCTACTAGCTCTACCTCTCAGCTAGCTACAGGCCACTGGCTACTGCCTACTGGCTAGGAGTTGGTAGTAGTAGTGTACATACTAGCTGGTGCATCACATCACATCTACTCCCTCCGTCCCATTGAGTTTGTCGTTGGAAAACCGTGCCCCCCTCACAATCCCGCTTCCCGAGCGACAATCTTAACGGGACGGAGGGAGTATTTGCTACAAACTCACGCAACTACAGCAACCAGAGGAGCAGCCAGAGGAGAGAGGGAGAGGGAGATCTGTGACGATCGTCTCGTGCATGCATGTCAGTGACTGCAGTGCATGTAGGTGGATGGGAGAGAACCGATCCATGCATGCACGAGCTAGTATGAAGGAGTATTGAAGAGAGGCCCCAAGTTTGGGGAGAGCCGGAGATGGGTAGATATGATGTGAGTGACCCGCCTGCGTTTTGACTTGTACCTTTCTGGCATGTCATGGCACCATAGGGTTCGCAAAAGTTACACAACAAACACTTCCATGCTGCTGCTGCTGAGGGCTGAGGCTGAGCTGCTCATACACACAGCGAGCTGCCTGCGTGCAAACTAAATGCGATATGGTTCTATGGATGGGCAGATGGCCGGGGCGCCATTGGGTAGCTATGATGAGAGCAGAGCAATGAGCCCCTCCTTCAATGCAAGCATGCCCCGGCCTCTCTAGCAGGTAGGCAGCCAAGTTGCTCTCATTGTCTGCTGCGTTTTCTTGGGCTTGGAAAACTGATGAGAATCCATGTCTATCTTGAATGCTCAAAAAGCTAGCTGAAGGCTCAAGGGGTCGGCATAAGATCATGGAGACTGCATGCATGGTGCACATTCATTTGCTCATCTGGTCAGTGCCCAAAATCGCTAGCGGCTCCCTTCCGGTGGAAACCGTACGCGGCGTTTATGAACGCGTCCTTACCACCAGGTCTAGCTGCCGGTACAGTCACGGTCGTGATATACACTGACCGATCGCGAGCCGATCATCGTGCTCGGACGGCGGTACGTACGTAGGAGTACGTACAGATAGCTGCTGCTAGCCTGCTACAGTGCTACTTACTAGACTCCTCTGTACAGAGTTAGCTAGCTGGCTTAAGGGCGGCTTGATTTCAGTTACCCCAATTATGGGTCAATCATGCATGTTTAGGTCAGTGCATGGAGGAGAGCATTAGGCATCCAGGGATCGGAGCAATTATTTGGGCAAAGCGGGCCATGTGCTTTGATTATGTACATGCATCGATCAGCAACATTGACCTATCAAATCTTGCTTGTACTTCAGCTTGACCAGACGTTCAGATATAATTAAGCTATCACAGAGTGAGAGATTATTTAATATACAAGCACATCCTAATAGTTAGTGATGCAAATCAGCATGCATGTTAGATATGTATCAAATATTATATACGAGTTTGGTTAGACTATGGCGCCGTTCGGCTGGTTGAAAAACCAGCTGTAATTCACTGTTCACGGCTAAAAATCACCGTTCACGCTTTCACAGATTCATCCAGATTCCTCCAAATTCCTCCCAGCGAACAGGACCTATGATTCAGAGTTGTATTTGGACCCAGTCTCCTCATAAATATGAGAGGAGGGCCGTTGTTATAACCATGACAACATAGCGACAAATTCGTGGGAGAGCAACGACACATTGCTAGGACCCTAGAGCGGGTAAAGATGAGCATGCAGCCCGTGGCACGACGGCTCGCCACGAAGCCCGCATTTTTGGCCCGGCACGAGCACGGCCCGGCGTGGTGACGAGCGGGCTCGGGCTGGACCGGCCCGGTACACAGGGCCTGTAACACTCTCGGTGTTATATTGTACAGTTTTTGTTAAAACACTGCATGAGCATCATACTTGTTTGTACATGGGTGTAATATAGGGTATAAATCAACGACATTTGAAACATTCATCGAAAACAAGAAACAAATGTTACATTTTATGTCGCTTTATATTGTTTAGTATTCTAAGTGAATTTTTATCGAACAAAAATGCTATAGAACGGTTATGCGAACTTTGATAAAGTTTGTAGTACGAACTTCGTAGGCAACGATAAAATACGTGCGGTCGAGGATGGGGTTCGCTAGCTAGTGTATCGGGTAACTTGAAAATCACATTCGACGCGTAATCGTTAGGACTTAGCCGAAATTTTCCACGTCGGACAATGTGTTGACGAAGCTATGTTCGGCAATTTTTGTAGAATGATCGGATTAAGAAGTGGCAAGATGTTTTGGCTTAGTTCGATAGCCCTAGGTACCCTCTTGAGTGTGGAATAGCTGGTTTGACTCTTGAATCATTGGGTTTGGGTTTTTTGAACAGCTTTAAAAAGCATGCAAGTCATGGGTTGAGCAATGCCAACGCCTGGGGCGCGGTCACCGCCCGGCTCTCGGCGTTACCGCACCGGCCGCCGTCGCGCCTGCGCGCACACACCCGCGCGTTGGCTCTGCGCTGCCAGCCAAGGTCTCCTGCTGTCGTGCTCTGGCACACGGCAAACGCGCGCGCTGGGCCTGGCCATGCCTGCTTGCACTGCCCCTTTCCATCGCATCCGCCTCAAGCTGCTGCTCGCCGTCGTGTCACGTCGCTCGCACTGCGCGTCGTCCGGCGCTGCCGTTCAGCTACTGCTCCCGTTGACGTCGGCTGTGCGCGCGCGTGGGCT